GTGGAGACCTTGTAAGGGTATATTAAAAGCCATAGTGACTTTTTTTTTTCATAAAGTGACTTTGAATGGGCCTCTGGCAACAGGCCAACAAGTATCCATCTAAAGAGGAAAGGCTTATACTAAATGTTAATTTATGGAAAACAGGCAATTACACAAAATGCAGCATCAGAACCAAAAATTGTTTTTAAAATGTGAGTTTTTGACACTTGGAGGATTTCATTCCAAATTCTCAATTATATAATTACCAAAAAAATCCGTATTTCAGGAAAACATACTTAATATTAACATAAAATTCATATCACTTATCACAAAGTTAGACAGTCAAGTGTATAAAGGAGAAACAAAACAAGCAGTATTTACAAATTTAGACTACACGAGACAATGTGAAGAATTCTTTGTTAATAAACAACACAATACATACTTTTACACACTACATTTCAAAAATGATGCATCTGTGAACAATACAATAAAAGTCATAGTGATGAAGACTTTAAGTTAAATTCAAGGTTGTGGTGTTGAAGACTTGAAAGTAAATTCAAGGTTGGTAGAGTTGAAGACTAAATTCAAAGTCAAGGTCATACTGATTGAGGCTTTAAATTGAAGGTTGTAGCGATGAAAACTTTAAGTTTAAGGACAGATTGTCTAAGAAAGGACAAAACAACTAGCATTCAAGCTATTTAGTCAATTAGTTTCCTGTGAGTACAAAATATATAGGAATCACTAAATGGAATAGCCTAATTACAAATTCTGTTCATTTCTAAGTAACTCACAACTCCAAGAAGTCTTTCTACAGAATTATTCAGTCACATAGTTTCTCACTATCCTTGGGTAGGTATTTCTGCTAAATTTTAAATCCATATTCAAAACAATTCCCTCCCAGTTCCATATTTTTATAAGTATAAAATATTTTTAAACAAAAAAATGTGTTCCTTAGCTAGAGAACTATTCCCCCACTGACTTCTAGAAGAGGAAAAAAAAAAAAAAAAGATTTCCATTTCCTCCTCAACCTCAAAACCACAAAGTAAACCCAAACAATCCAATTCCTAATGTAGAGTCGCACAGAACCCAGGGCCTGGAACAATATTTCATGCTAGTTTTCTTGCTATATGCTGAGAACAATTTAGTTATTTACATCATTAAGAAATCTATTTGACAGGCTGGATTCATTCCAGTGCTTCCATCAGCAGAGGCTTGCTAAAAAAGGCGAGAGCAGCGGCGTCTGCGAATGGGAACGTCGAAGACTCTCCTCCGCCTCTCCTCCTCGTCGTCTTCATCAGATTCGTCCATATCTGCCGAATCATCATCGTCGTCTTCTTCCTCCTCCTGCTCTTCTTCCTCTTCCATCTCTTCATATTCATCAGGACCCATTTCCTTGAAAAAGAGAACAATCTTTTGATAAGAACTTCCATCAGGTTTTTACACTTATTTAATGCAGATTCTCATTTATCTAGAAGCTAAATAACTGGACATACCAAATATGAATTTTTAAAGACTTAAACAGCACACGCTGTTCATAATGCACACGCTGATGCAAGATTCCAGAGTGTATATTCCATCACGTTTCAAAATGCTCCATGTGGTTTTAATGGTAAGTATATTTTGTTAATATAGTACTTATTTTTTACATGGTAGTTGATGATTCATGTACAAGGTAGCAAACAGACCACTACTAACAACCCAAAATAACGTTTTACTGATTTATCATTAGTATATTAAGAAACATTTCTGTTCATCTATATGCTTAAAGAGGATGTGAAAACATTAATAAGGTATGATCTCTACTGGTTTTATGTACTGTCAACAAGAGGTCTAATAGATGTCTGTTGAGTTCTTACTATAGATACAGCATATTTTAACCACTGGTAGCCTCTACTTTTAAATTAACTTGTTGAAGGCTCTCAGAATAGGGCAGTAGTGATGTTAAACATGCATTTATCTGAATCTCTTGGAAACGTCAATTCCTCTTAAGCAGTGTCTCTGATCAAGTCTTGACTTACTCTGCTGTCAGTTTTCTCTTTCATACTTTTGAAGGCTCAATGAGAAGAGCTGCTGTATTGGACAGCATTCTGAATAGCAAGTAGGTCCTAGTTGGTAATGTGGGAAGTGCCGAAAAACAGTATGTGGTTGTCCGCAAGTCCTTCCACCAAGGCTTTTATGGCATTAGATGAAGCAGCACCCCACCACCCTTCTGATCTCACCTCCAACTGCCCTCCCGGTTCACTGTCTTCCAGCGCACCGGCCTCCCTGCAGTTCTGCAAACACGCCAAGCACATGAGTGCTTCAAGACCTCTGCACTTGCTGATCTTTTGCTTGGAACAAACACCCTTCTCCCACATATCCACCTGAATCCCCCTACTTAAGTTTCAACATGAGTATCCCCAAGGCATTCCTTGACACATCTTTATATTAGAACAACCCAACAGGACACTTCTTATCCCCTTTCCCGATTTTTATGCAGAGAGCACATATTAACCACTGACCTAAGTACGTAGTGTTCATTTGCTACACTTTGTCTCTTCTAACTACAGTGCAAATTCCAAGGCAGAGATTTTGACTGCAATGTTCACTGCATTTTCCCCAGCACCTAGTATGTATTCAATAAATATTTGTTGAGCAAATTAATGTGAGAGAAAAGTATTGTCCTTCAGGATTTGTCAAAGGAATTTTCACTTGGGATTTATTTTAACACAAACACCAACCAGAGAAATACATAAATATGGATAGAAGATATTCTATTACTTTTATCTTTGGATTTTTTTTTAAATCTAGAGAAAGAAGACTAAAATTCAGTAGATGGTCCAAAAGGGGAAAAGGAGAAGGCTTAAAAAATTCTAAAACATTAAATCCAGGTCATATAATTATTATCTTAATAAAGAAGAAAACAGAAATACTGTTAGAGAAATCAGTGTGGCTAAAGAGACTGCTGATGATCACAGATAAAACACATGTACACAAACAGCAGATGGAAAGAGGAACACAAAGACAAGAATGGACATACATCAGCAGCAGAAACCTCTAAAGTGTCTAAAAACAAACCAACCATCTAGACCAAGAAAAAGCTTAAGACCAACCAAAGGATATTTTAAAGTGGCATTCAAAATATAAGCAAAATGAAGGGTTAAGCCTCTTAATTAATCATATTGTTAGAGAACACAAAAGGAAAACAATTCAACTCCCATATCAAAAAAACTAATATTTAAATAGGAAAGGTATGACATAAATACAACACAGCACAAATGTAAAACCCAGTGCCTCTTTCATGTTGATTAAAAATAAGTCCAGAATTCTCATTTATTTTTATTGATTTCTCATCCCTGAGAGAGAAAAAACATTTTCCACAAGGCAGGTCAAGATTTTATACTATTATCTGTGGTTGGGAAGACACTAAAACTCTAAATAAGTAAGAACAGTTAAGAGAGGGTTGAACATGTAATGAGTTTATTATTGTAATTTAAAATTATAAATTTAAAAATTTAAAACTTTAAAAAAGTAATAAGTAAATATTATAAAACTTCTCAGTTTTAATTTCTAACATGATAAATATCAATATAACCCACATAAGCAAGAGTTCTCTAGAGTCCTCATAACTTTTTTTAATTATAGTTGACATACAATATTATATTAGTTTCAGGTATACAACAATGTGATTGGACATATATATATACACATTATGAAGTGATCACCACAATAAGTCTAGTAACCATCTGTCACCATACAGAGTTATTACAATATTATTGACTATATTCCCTATGCTGTACATTACATCCCCGTGACTTATTTTATAACTGGCAGTTTGTACTTCTTAATCGCTTTCACCTTTTTTGCTCATCCTCTCACTCCTAACGACTCTGGCAACCATCAGCTTGTTCTCTGTATCTAGGAGTTTGTTTCTGTTTTGTTTGTTTGTTTGTTTTGGTTGTTTAGATTCCACATATAAGTGAAATCATACAGCATTTGTCTTTTATCTAACTTATTTCACTTAGCATAATACCCTCCAGGTCCATCCATGTTGTCATAAATGGCAATATTTCATTCTTTTTTATTGCTGAGTAACATTCCATTGTATATATGTACCACATCTTCTTTATCCATTCATCTATTGACAGACACCTAGGTTGCTCCCATATCTTGGCTATTGTGAATAATGCTGCAATGAACATAGGAGTGCATATCTTTTCGAATTAGGGTCTGATTTCTTTGGATAAACATCCATAAGTAGAATTGCTGGGTTGTACGGTAGTTCTTAATTTTAAATTTCTGAGGAATTGTTAATAACTTTTAAGAGCTTAAGGGGGTCAGGAGACTGAAAAGTTTGAGAATGACTATCCTTGAGACTACATTATACCCACCCTAACAAACATTAAAAACAAGCCTCAACAGGATCGAGCTGACCCAATAATAACAACTGCTTGCTCAAACTCTCGTCTCTTTACACTTTATGTCAGGAGTATCAGCAACTTTAGGACAAGGAATATTGTCAGAGATAGAGAGATTTCATAATAAAAGAAGCACTTCATTAAAAAGACATCACGATTCTCAGTATATTTGCATGTAATTATAGAGCTTCAAAATACATGAAGCAAATCTGATAGAATTAAAGGAAACAGACAAAACTGTAATTATAATTTGGTATTACAACAATCATCTCTCAGAGAACAGACAAAAAAAAATCAGTAAATATATAGATGACTTGAAAAACAGTAAACCAGTTTGACCTGTCATTTTATAGGACAATATTCCCCCAAATATCAGAATAACATTCTTTTCAAATACATAGGGATTATTTATCAAGAAAAACCATAATTCTGGGCCATAAAACATTTAAAAGGATTGAAAATTATATACAGCGAGTTCTCTAACCATAACAAAATTAGAAATCAATAACCAAAAGATAACTGGAAAATCTCTGACTGTTTGGAAATTAAGACATTTCTAGAAAAATCATATATCAAAATTAAATTATAAAGATAATTGGAGAATATTCTGAACTAAATATTAATAAAAACATCAAAATTTATGAAACGGAGCTAAAACAGAGCTGAGAGAAAAAAGGTATAAAATCAATAATCTAACCTTCTTTTTAAGAAGTTAGAAAAAGCAGCAAATTAAAGCCAAAGTAAGTACGATAGAAATAAAGGTAACTGCAAAAATCAATGAAAATAGAAAATGAGCAAACAATAATCAGCAAAACCAAAAGTTGTTCCTTTAAATGATCAATAAAAGTGATAACCCCCTAGCTAAACTAAAGAGCAAGAGATGATATACATTACCAATATTAAGAACAAACGAGTACATATGACTATAGCTCTTGTAGCCATTAAAAGGATTATTAAAGGAATATTGTGAATAACTTTATGCCAATAAATTCAACATTTAGACAAATGGACAAATTTCTTGAAAGACACAAATTACCAAAAGTGAAACAACAAACAGAAAATATAAATATTAAAGAAATTACTCATATTTCAAAACTTTTCCACAAAGAGAACTCCAGCCCCAGATGACTACACTGATAAATGGCATCAAACATTTAAGAATGATACCAATCTCATACAGAAACTGGGCTAGTCAAAAATGGAAGACTTACAGGAAGTAGCAAATTCTCCGTACTGGAAATATACAGTAGAAAGCATTCCTTCACTGGGAGGGAAGCTAACCCTAACTTCCAAACCCAGACTGTAGACGGTTATCACCAGACATGTCACAGGTATAACGGCCTAAAGTCTCATCATCATCTTTCTTTCTCCAAACTGGAGTTGGGAATGTGTCAACTCTGGGTCAGATTAATATGTCCATCTGCCCAGTCTTATTTTAGACCCACCCATCAGGGTCATCCCAGGAGCCAGAGGGCTTTTTGTGAACATTTGATACCTATAACTCAATTACATTTTGGGTATACAATTCATATTTTATTCCTATTTTATAATTGGAGCTTCATAATTTTCTCTAATCATTTTATAGCCCACAAGATTGGGGTTACTGCTGTACCTGTAATAAGGTAACTCTAAAATGAGATTTAAAAAACATATCTAGTTGACTTAGGAAATGATTCCAAAGGACTATTAAAAGTATAAGTCTACCCATTAAATCCTCTTCGCAATGATTTCTATAGGTTATTTGTATTATTTTACAAAATTGGGAGTTTTAGCAAAAACACTGTAAGAAATTGTTTTCCCAGTCTTAATGAAATAAAATAAAGCAGATTCTAATTGGCCTAGTGTGGCGTTTCTCATTAAGTGACAGAAGTATTTCTGGAAACAGTGGAAAAGAGGCTGAACCTTTAAAACCAATAACTACATGATACTATAACGGTGGCTCCATGTCAGTATACATTTGTCCAAAGCCATAGAATGGACAACACCAAGAGTGAACCCTGATGTAAACGATTGCCTCTGGGTGATAATGATGTGTCAGCAGGCTCATCAGTTGTAATAATGGTACCTCTCTGGTGGGAGATGTTATGTGGGGGCAGAGGGTGTATGGGAAATTTCTGTACCTTCTGCTCAATTTTGCTGTGAATCTAGAACTGCTCTTAAAAATAAAGTCTATTAAAAAAAACTAACAAACAAAAACAACGATAAAGAAGATAACAGAATTACTCTGATTGAAGAGTATGGAGCCTAGCTTACTTACTGTCCACCTCCCCCAACATATTCACACATCCCACCCCTCCCCATGATACTTCCCTCAAAATTTCTATTTTTTTCTGGAACACAACTTATAAACTATTTGTCTGGCTAATCAACAAAGACCCTCTGTGGAGTGAATTCTACAAAGTCATGTAAATCAGCACCAGAGGAAAATTTAACCTACCAATCGAGCTATAGACACCCTGAATGTCGGACATGCCATATGGAATCGGGGAATGGCGACATTAAAGATCTTGTCTTTAAAGTAAAGAAAGTGGAAAGTATAATAGCCTTCCATATATCCTGATGTTGTAGAGAATGTGGTACAACTTGTATATTCATATACCCGACCAGGGCTGATGATTGGAAATTCACCTGCAGAGAAAACAGTAACAATAAGCCAAAGAATAAAATTCAGTTCTTCATCACAGCTAATAAGATATGTCTTCTATGGGATTATGTAGACTATGTTTAAGTAAATGCACAATTAGAAAGAAAATCTAAAAGGAAATACAACAAAATAGTAACAATGACGGGATTATGAGTGAGTATTTCGATGTTTTTTTTTTTGTAATCCCCCAATTCTCTATGGTGTGTGTGGCGGGATGGGGGATATCTAGTAGAATGAAACAAAACAAAAAAAAGGAGTATTTTCTTTTTCAAAATGCTTTGAGGCATTTTAGACACCATCTTTAAGATGGGTAATAAAAAGTGTCACAGATACTAAACAGAAATAAGGATAATCTAAATGTTTAAAGTAGCAAGAGACTAAAACATAAAACTCTGAGGATACATCTTAAGCATTTAGCCCAGACAAAATGGCAGTCACAAGGGAGAGGTCTTACTCCAATGGACCAAATGACTGAAAAAGAATGACAGCTTTAATTCGATTCCTTAGCACTAGAGATCCCCACATAAATTCAGGAAAAATTCCTTAAATAAACATGTAGAATATGAATTTATTTGTGGCAATGAATTAGAACAACTTTAATTTAAACTGAATTCTGGATACGCTTAGAGAACTGATAACAAGTACATAGCTTAAATGTTATTTTCCTGAAGAACAAATACAAAATCTAAAGAATCTAAGGAAGAGTTTAGAAACATAAGATGATCATAAATTTTAAAAAGCAAAATGCCAATGGAAATCAAGCTAGAGATGACCGAAATCCAAACACAACAAAAATCTGTGCTATTAATTTTAACATTTCCCTCATATTTCAAAAAAGATGACCAATATTTCTCTTTCTGCCCTATACCCTGTAACCCTACAAAATAGGATAACGAGTAATTATCCAGCTAAAAAAATAAGAAAAAGCAAAGAACTCAAGTGATCCACAGAATGGAAACTCAATCCCTGAATAACTGAGTCTGCTATAATTTTAGAAAAGTTATGTTTAAGGTACTAAACTGATAGTATAATGATCTCTACAAATTATATTTATGAAGCAAAGTATTATAGTCAGAAGTCCAGAATCTATGATAACTTTCACATTGTAAACTCGGCTATTAAAAAGATGCGGTCTTATCCGCTAACTACATCATGTATTTTCCAAGCTGTGTATCACATACATGCTCTCCAAAATCTCTTAGAAGCAACTGATATATAAACCCAAATGCTGCGTTACATACCAACTACTCCAGGTCCTTGAACTTCTTCTACATCACCTTTAGCATTTGTTATTCTCCAATAGCGACTGTCCAACTGACAAGCCTTCTCAGGAAGTGCATCCTTTGACATTTCGATCCTAGATAAGGGAAGGAAGTGGCAGACACACAAATCAGGCCCTTTTTTTGTTTCTTTTAAGAGTGACAGTATTTGGGTAGGACCTTGAAAGGAATTTCCAAAGGAAATTAGGAAACCCAATCCAAAGTTTGTGTTAATCATCTATTTATGGAAGTTTTCAAAGACACTGGCCTGATTAGCTTGACTCCCCCACAGAAATGCTTCCACTAATTTATGTATCTGACTTTCAGTGAGGAACTACAATAGAAAGGGCAACATAAATATTTTCAAAGACAATGCTGGCAACAAACATTTGCTGTTTAAACAAAGATCAGTGTGGGAAACACCTTCTAGAATATAGTGCCATGAAAAACTTGTTTTAAAAAACTGACAGTCTTTTCTCACTACTAAGCTATGCAACCCATTTCCCTTTTTTTCCATTAGCTTCTAGAAAGCTCAAAGCAAAATGTCACTATTCAGTTACTGGGATTACACCTTAACTTTGCTTCCCAATACTATTATTTCCCCTCTTCCTCTGGGAATCTTCTGTCTCTTATTTTCATTTTGAGTTCCCTATAAGTGTATGCTGGTATAACTATTTTAAGCATATCTCAGTCCTAGGCTCTAAATTAGTCCTAGGATCTAAATTAAATAGACATATCAAAGTGTAACTAGACATATCAAAGGCTATATAAAATAACAAAATCCTAGGATGTTCCTGGTAAGTTATATTTTATGAAAATATTTCTAGTATGTATACATATATGTATATGTATTCTTAAAATACTATATTTAACATCATAAATATATAAAAATATATCTAAAAACAAAGTATCTTTAGTCCTTTAGAGCAATGAGTTGTCTTTATGTCACAGCACAGAGTACTTCTAATTAAAGTGAATTTAATATTTGTTATTTATTTAACCAAATCCAGTGCTTAACACTGTGTCTGATATATGGGCAGCACTCAATAAATATTTATTGGACTTTTAACTGAATATAGAGAAGCCAGATGAAATTTTAAAAGCATGGCTTTAACTTGGGGAATTTGATAGGTTCTAGAAAGCACTACAACTGTAATTTTGATCTTTCATGATTACAATTTAGTAGTCCACCTTGCAAAGTACCTGGCACAATACTTATATTTATAGGCAATAACTTAAATAATTTAGAGGTTAATATAAACTCAAGGTACTTTCCAAACACTATATCATAAAAAATTTTGTTATCCACCTTCTTCCATACTTCAGCAAGAAACTGTCTTTCAAAATATGTTTTATGTATCATGTCAAATGGGATAATAACAATGCATCCATAGGATATATCCCACTATTAACTGAAAGGTGACCCGTTTCAAATTCTCACCTGATTCGATATGTGAAGAAATAGTGAGGTGGATGTACAGAGCTAAGTTCTGGCAGAAACGATGTGGAAACAGAAACTGTAATATCCCCGGTTGTTGCTACACACTCTGGATCATGAACATACCTAGGTAATTTTAAAAATTAAACAGTTTTTAGTCAACGAACCTCAATTCTATAAGATAGAAGGTTTAAAGATACAATGCAAAATAGCTGATACTTCACTTTAAGATTGAAAATTTAAATCATATTTGTGACCTTAAAGGTATAGTCCTATTAAACTTAGAAGAAAACCAGAATTACAAATGAATCAAAAAGCCCTGAAGACTCCAGATCAGTAATGACAGCAGTCAAGGTTCAACGATCAGTGGTTCAACACTGGATCAGTAACTAGGCTGGAAACTAAAAAGAGCTTATCTCCATTTTCAGAGCTAAGGAAACCTTTGAGACATCTGAAAACCCAGCTATACCCTATAAACAGTGGCTCTGACAATAAAAATGTGTTAGTATGTTATTCTACGGGCCTGTAATGCATACTTAGTCTATCAATTTCTGCCAACCATGCTATAAACCAATACTACCTCTAATAATATATATAATATGTAGATGTTCCATTTAGAGATAATAAGTAATATTTGCTAGGAGTCAACAGTTAATGACTTGCAATTCATAATACCTACGAACTGGCAAACATCTTTATTTCCACCCCCCTCCAAAATAAACTATACAACTACTATAAAGCCATAATCTTTAAATTAAAAATCAAAATCAGTTTTTTCTCTTGATTCATCAAGATAAGAAAAATATTGGCTGTTCAAATGTTTGGATGTTTTGGTTTTAAAGTGAGAATAAAATCGATTTACATTTATGAGAGGTTCTGTTATTAACCTTCCTGGGAAACTGCATTCATGATCTGTAAGTGAAGGTTTTTGCTGATTATAATTATTCCGAACCAAAAAGCCCTAAGTGAAATAAATATACCTGAAAATTTGGTCTCTGATGATAGGGAAGCCACCTGATACAACATTGTTGACATAAGAAGTAAACCAGTCAGTAAAAGTAGCACCTGTAAACCAGGAAAGGGGGGGAAAAAAAAAAAGGACGGACAAATAGTTTTTATAAAATCAACCAGGAAACAAGGAAATAATTATAATTTCTTTATGCTTAAGATGTGATATCAAAACTAGAAACATTTATAGATATAATTCCACTAGTCCTTTGTTAGGTCAATTCCTAGTTTCAATTCTATCCATCTTATTCCCAATTACCTTTGAACTAAGTTTTACACTTATAATTAAATAATAGACTTTAAACTTTAATTTGTTCTGGTATAAAAATGAAAGCCTTTTGTTTATAATTTCTTGAACAAAGGAGATACAGCTATGTCTAAGAAGAAACTACAGGAAAAATATCAGCACCTATCTTCAGTCAATCAGGGTACATCCTGACTCATGCTCAGTGTGGACATCTCAGGGATATGGCACTGTGGAGTTCTGGCTGTTAGGACAACCCCAAAGGAGTCTAGTTGCACTACTACAGATTCAAATGCACAGCAGTCCTCCATATTCTCTGTGACCATCTTGAAGCAGTAAAGAATGACTGAAACAGTCCAGTCTAGACCATACATTCGTGATCTAGTGATTGGATCAATAATCAGCATTTATATAAATTGTTTGCTCCTTCTAGGTACTACAATATAGCTTTCTGAGACCCCTTTATTTACACATCTCAGTGCCTAGCATATATTAGTCCCTTAATCAGTGCTGTCCAATGAATTTCTTTGTAATTTTGTTTCTATTAACAGTTCCTATAGTCTTCCACGTGAAATGTTAGATGCTAAATTTATAGTATTTACTTAATATCCTATTTTAGGAATGATAGAAGATACAATTTAGATTTGCGTCTGAGGGTATATAGCTTTAAAATCTTAAAGGCATCAATTGAGAAGGTAAACTACACCCCTTATTTATTAAATGATATTGTATTCAAATAATCAGTGATCATCTGTCTACTTTGAGCAAGATATTAAGGAGTCTATCTTTAATGACATGAATAATATCATTAAAATTCATAGAAAGTACAATTTTATGTTTTGAGAACTAGTAATTTTCTTGTAGTTTTTTTAAAAACTCATTTAGTATATTTTTATGAATTAAAATATTTTATAAGAAAAATAAATTTCTTATGGTTTACATAAACATTGACATAGTGTATTTCAACGTAAATTTATTATAATACATACATACCAAAGGATGTTCTTTAAAATGTAGACAGAATTTCCAATGCAGCCCTCACTACTAAATTTATCCAAACATAGAATCTAGTTTTCTTAAATATCTATTAACAATGCACTGAACACCAAGAGATTCCACCTTATGTTTTACCAAAATTCCAAGAAAGCCAAATTTAGTTGAATCAAGATGTAATTTACATGTTATAAGGTAGTTTATCTTTTAAAGTAAGCACGTATCTTGGAGTTTCTTTGACAGTATCGGGGTTTTATCAGGGTAGCTTAAAGAAAGCTGCTTTCTCATCTTCCCTCTCGGCACTGACATCCTACCTTGTCTCTTCTCGGCGCGTCTCAAATTTTTTATTCTGCTCTCTTATTCTAGAAGTAATTCCGACTACTAGAATATTATTATCAAACCTCAGTGCTCTGCTGTAGTGGTCAGGTCTTTCACATCATGCCAGAACAGCATCAAACTAAGAGTAAGAAACTCAGAGCCTAGCAGGCAACTTACTGTAGAGCTCAGGCAGCATTTGGTTTATCATCTGAAAAGCACCACTGCACTGGAGCCATAATAATCATCTCAAAGCATGTGCTGTGCAAAGATGCCAAAGAGGGCAACGAGCAGGGGCATCACCCTAGTGGGTGGTTAACTTAGAAACCACAGACCACATCTATCAGTGTGAGCTGAAACCTATGGGCTAAGTGTAAAAGCTCTTTACAACTTACTACATAGGGGTGAGAGCTTCTTGATATTGTGAAATATGCCACAAACCTAGAATGTGCCACAGTATGGAACAAATGGAGATTTATACTCTGTTCATGCTTCCAATTAGGAAAAATAATTAAATACAGATGCTTTAGCCTGCAAGGTCCCTTTACTAATAGTATATGTTTAATATGTGCAAGAATGCCTTTAAAAAGCAAAATGGATAGTCAGGAAGCTTCACTTAAGTGAGCAAAATCTAAGCAAAGCAAGATTGGATGAATAGCAAGGGGTAAACTGCACCTGCATACAAATTGAACTGTTCTCGAATCCTATGAGAAAAACCCTTTTGAGGCCAAGACAAACTTGCTGTACCAAGGAATTTATAAAGCCCAGTTTATACTGGTCTCTGAAGTTTCCTGTTTGAGGTCTCTAGTGTGACTTATCGGTATTTTACTATGGTATTGGTCTCTGAAGTTTCCTGTTTGAGGTCTCTAGTGTGACTTATCGGTATTTTACTATGGTATTGGCACCAAGAAAAAAATTATGAAGTAGTTTTATATATCTTTATCTGTATGTATTAATATGATTGATAGAAAATGCATGTGCGTGTAAAAGAACTATAGACTTACTCACAGCAGTTCTATACATTTCACTGTTCTATAGCAGAGTCCTAAGAGTATAAGTGTGTATAGCGCATGGATTTTTTCCAAATAGAAACCATGCTATGCTAATGAGAGCCTAGACAGAGTACTTTATAAACCTGCAAGGCTGAAGAAATACAAGTATAAAATTGCCAGGTGATCAAGTAACTGAAAAGTTGCTACCAACTTAATTTTTTTGACCAGGAAGAAGGGAAAAGAAGATTTTTTTTCCTCTTACCTATGATAAACATGTCAATAGCAGCTGGATTCCGAGCCATTTGGTCCTGGGTGAGAAAAAGATTATAATTGAGAAAAATACATTTAACTTAATATCTCATTGTTCATTATCTATATTCTTCCCTGGACACAAGGAAAAACAGATAAAAATAACAAGTGCTTGGACATTCCTCATACTTTGCAATTCCTGCTCTTATGATTTCTACATTTAGGTTCTTTCTACGAAGTCCTTAGAAGAGTGTCTGGCACCTCTCAGTAACATTTAAATGCTTATATACTATTACTGTTACAATGAACTAAAAAACTGTCCTTCAGAAAAAGAATTAGGAAGTTAAGGTGAGAAGAAATATGGCCAATTATCCTAGAAGAAAGAGATTTGGATTAAGTGAAGAGACCTGAACAATTTTAGGTTACACAGTTTTATCAGTAAATAAAGAGACTAAGCCATCATCCCACAACCTAACAGAGGTATCAAGTCAAAAATGAGATAAAAGATATGAAAATGCTTAGAAAAAAATTAAAAGCTATTAAAGCTCTTGAAATATTTTAAATGTTATATGGAGGCATAACTCTCAGCTAACTATGAAAAATATTTTCTACTTTAAATTCCTTTTTTAAAAGTGCATAGCTAGGCAAAAATGAAGGCAGAACTTCTGCAACTGAGAAATTACCGAGAACTGAGGAATAAGACTGAAATCAAATGCTGTATTTCCGATTACATTTAATCATAACAAATGCCTCCTAAAAAGGATCTATATTTTTCAACAACTCAAATACCTACTGAAGAGTTTAAAAAGTTCCTACTGCACTCAGAACTTGAATCAAATGAAGTTCAAAAGCTAAAATTTTGAAGTCAGAAATGTATATTACAATTACTTCAACAAAAAGCCCATTAATTTTCCTTAAACTTAAAATGCCTTAACATAAAGCATAGCTTTCCCTCTTATGTTCAATAGTTTAAATTGTCTGTCCATTGGTAAAATTTTCTTTTGGCATTCCATGCCATTATGTTAGAATATTAGCCCTCTAATTAGATGGGTCTATAATTAAATAGCATAATGCTCTACACCCATTCTACAACCCTGAAAATTCCTAACACACACATGTAGACACTCATCAGAACACATCTTAAAGCCACATTTAAACACACTTCCTACTTACTGGACATTGGTAGAAAACTTCATTTTTGTTTCGGCCCTCCGCAGCTTCCACTGCTATGTACTGACTCAAACCAGTATGTATGCAAAAAGTTAAAGGGAGACAGTATTTCAGGCCCTGTCTCTGCTGGAAGCCTCCAGCAGCTGTATCGACATCTAACAGATCCTCAGAACGATAGTGATTAGACAGCGCCATACTTCCCAACAACCTGAGAATACAGACTCAAAAATTTAATCAATTGCAGTGCCAAACAAACAGCTGTGCTTTATCTTTTTGATGAATAATAATTTCACATTAACAACTTTATAGGAACTGATTAACATGTTGATTCCAAACTGGGAATGCCAAAAACACAACATTGTCTATATATTAAATTCAAACTCGAGTAGAAAAATTGTGATTTAAATTAAAGCCCGAACGTCTAAAATGTCTAAATGTCAGCTTTTTTCAAAGAAAAATAGCTTTTTGCTTTCAAGAATCCATCTTGCCATAAGCTGATTTGCTGGTGTTTTACTACGTATGTATGTATGTATGACTAATGTTTAAGGGTAAATTCTGATACCTTTATTGTGATACAACCTTTGGCTTACTCTATCTTATCAGACAGTATAAATGTTAATTAGCCTAAACTTTGTCTAAACTTTTATAAACTTAGGGCATGTGGGACCTAAACTCATCTCACTGCATGTGCATGAGAACAAAGCAGGTGTGGGTCCTTGGTGATATTCTTGTATTAAGTCTCACTGTTTGGACTGTGACTAGATAAAAATTCCTGTGTTAAAAATCATGACCTGTTTGTCATGTCAATTCTGGGCAACTCTTTTAATAAAGTTCTCTCTTGCTTGCTCTTGAAATGTGGTTAACTTTTCAATTTTGTCAAATTTCAGTTTGATAGGAAAATAGGCTAGGGAAAAAAAGCCAATAACTTAGGCTTATCTTGTCCTATCTGCCCAGTATTTGATTTCTGAATACTACCTTGTAAACTCAGTATGATCACTTCCAAGATTCCCTGTATTCACTGAGACCTGATCTGAAATGGTAATGGAACCTTATAGGATTCCTCACATACACAGAGATACCAAGTTCCAATAAGAACAATGCAAAGTTTTCCCTAGGTTCTTATTAGCATTTCACAAATGCAATGTCTCTGAAATAGCTTAATTTCATAAAAGAACAAAAGGAGTAGACACATTCAAAGCATATAGTTTTTAAAATTGTGAGTGAATTTGACAGCTACTGCGTGGTCTGCTTTTCCTGAAGGGTTCCACAGTGAATACTTCATCTTTCAGAAGTAAGTTTAAAATAGGCCATTTAATTATAGGCTATGCTTGAATAGGACAAAACTATACTTTCTTTAGTTTAGTATATGCAGCTCTGAACAAGCACTGCTTTTTACATGTATAGTACATAGAATTTGCATCAGGCTCCCGAAAACAAATTATCTGGCCTATAACAGGATAAACAGTTAAAGGATTCCAAATAGTTTTACTTAAGATATACTCATACACACATCTCCCCTACGTCTCATAGGCCCCACACCCAACCAGACTTCATTTTAACTTTAAGGATATGTTGATTAAAATGTTTTTATGAGACATATTTTGTTAAATTAAGTTCAAGCTATAGATTTTGTCTTATGGATTGCTACAAGGAAGAAGAGGGAATTCCTATACTCCTTTAATCTGTTAAGAGTAACTATAATTTATTTTCATTCCAGAACATAACTGTATCATCAAAAATAGTCAAAATAGCAAACATCTTACCCGGGAACCACTAACTTCTGCCCATTGTGGATACGATAGGAACATCGATAATCATCAGGAAGCTTGCAACCAATCTGAGCTTCCACAGCATCTAGGTCTTCCTCTCGAGCACCCTCTGCAAATACACAAAATAGCAAATTATGAAAAAACAATAAGCCTTAAATCTAAGACAAAATACGGTTTTTGTGCCAACCAAAGAAACAACCTTGACGAGCAAGTGAATTCTGTCCAAAATGCATTGCTGAAATATAGGGAAATGAATTGAAAATTCAGAGAAACATGTTATCACTTTAGATTTGCTCTGACATTTGAACCACTGAGCAAGCAAATTCCTCAGTTTCTTCTGAACAGGGAAAACACTGGCACTGAGTAAAATACGGAAAGGTACGCACCAATGAAATCCACAATAATTTTTTCAGACATTTTGGCATATCTCACTTTTCTTAATCTAATATACTCATACTTCTCTATTAAAAAAAAAAATCCCCAGAAATTTTCTAAACTGACATTGTTCAAGAGCCTTAACGTAGTCTCTAAATGGGAAATGTAGGACATAGGTGTGGGTTCATGCTGTGAGGAAGCCATTAACTTGAATTCAATTTTGCGCGTTTGTAAGCCTGCCATATATTCTTGCTTTAAATAGCAGAAAGGATTACAAACAACAAGAGATTTATTTCTAGCAATGGCCAACTAGGTTGTTAGACCAAACCTCTTGATTAGAACTAGAAAAACTGAACGATAGAAAATTGGTTTTAAGGCTTTTGGAGAACCTCAGTGAAGGTGAGAAATGGCAGGGGTGAGGGGTCCAGAAGAAACTGAGAGGTTAGACAGCCTTGGGAGCCACCTTGTCTTTGAGGCAATTGCCAATTCTGAAAGGAAACATGAGGCTGAGAGGCTGAGGAGCTGAGCAATGCTTTCAGCAGTGTCACGGGACTGAGAGAATTTTCCAAAACTAATGAAAACATCAAACCATAGATTCCAGCACTATAAATTCCATGAAGAATAATTACAAAGACAATCATATCTACACACATCATTGCAAAACTACTGAAAATCAAAGACAAAAAGAAAATTTTTTTTAAAAGAGAAATTCTTAAAAGCAGCCAGAGAAGGGGAAAAACCACATAAGAATGACACCTAAATTTTCAACAGAAACAATTGAAACCAGAAGAACTGTATCTTTGAAGAGCTGAAAAAAATAACTGCTGTCTAGAATTCTATATCCAGTGAGTATATACTTCAAAAGTGAAGATGAAAAATGATCCCAGATGGAAGCATGAAGATATAGGAAATAAAAAGCAACCAGAAAAGATAAATCTAAAATAATATTGAATATATGAGATAATTAGGCAAAATCTGCCATTTTCGGGGTAGAAAATATACTGAAAATTAAAACCACAAAAACTATAACACAAAAGGCAGGAGGGGAGGTAATTAAAATTAAAATATTCTAAGGTTCTTTCATTATCCAAGAAGTGGTAAACATACCAATTTAAAATAAACTTTAATTTAAAGAAAGGAGGGATACAGAATAAAAGATAATTAAGAATGCAAAAAAGGAACACCTGCTCAAGTGACAAAAATAAACAGAAACATGGTATATTTAAACTCAGATATATTAGTAATTACATAAAATATAAATAGACTAATATAGTTAAAAGAGAGACCGACATCAGATAAAAACCAAAACACAATAATATACTAGAGGCACATCTTAAAAATGTAGATACAGAAAAGAAATCTAGAAGAGCTACTAAAATCACACAAAATAGATATTAGGGCAAAGAGTATTATTAGAGGGAATGACAGACTTTTTTGTAACAGTAAAAAAGGTTAAACTTACTACATGGATATTATAATTCTAATTTTGTATACCTAATAACAGCTTCAATATGTATTTTTGAAATAAAGAACTAATGGAAAAAAAGATCTATCTACAATTATAGTGTGTATATTAGTTGTCTATTGCCACAACATTTGCAGCTTAAAACACTTGTTATTTCATAGTTTCTGTAGGTCAGAAGTCTGGGCATGACTGAATTGGGTACTCTGCTCGGGTCCCACAGGCTGAAATCACGGTGTCAACTGGGGCTGCTATCTCATCTCATGCATCTTATGCTGGGGTCCTCTTCCAAGCTCACTGGTTGTCCCTCTGCACAACACGCCCATTTGTTTATTTAAGGCCAAAAGGAGAGATATCCAAGCTTCAAATCTCTTTGACTTCTGGCAGGACCCACTTTCTTTTAGGACTCACCTGATTAGGTCAGGCCCACTCAGGATAATTTCCCTTTTGATGAATGATTAACTCAAATCTACTAATTTGGGGATTTAATTACATTTGCAAACCCCCTTCAGCTTCGACATATAATATGACGTAATCACAGGACTGAAATCAATATACCCACAGTGCCACTCCCATTCAAGGAATCTATTATAACACCATGTATATACAGCAGGTGTGGGAATCTTAGGATCTCAGAATTCTGTCTACCACAGTGAGAAAGTTTAACATACCTCTCTCAGTAACTAATAAAATGAGTAGCCAAAAAAATTAGTAAGAGTGCATAGTATTTGAACGAGATTAACAATTTTTGCCTAATTACATATATAGTACTGAATCCAACAATGGCAGACTATACATTCTTTTCAAGTATACATGGAACATTTACCAAGGCAGATTATATACTAGACCACAGAAGAAATCACAACAAATATCAAATGACAACACTAAAGTGCTGGTAGGAATGTAACATGGTAAAATCATTTTGGAAAATTAACAGTATCTTTTGAAGTTTAATATAAGCACAGTCTACAACCCAGTAAACTCAATCCTAGATATCTACCCGAAAAAAATGCATACATATAAACATCAAAAATGATTTACATTTGTACTATTTACAATTTCTTTTTTACACTGGCATTATTTGTAATAGCCCAAAACTAGAAATAACCCCCAAATCCATCAACATGAATTGTGGTCTACTCATATAACGAAGTACTATACTGCAATAAAAATGAACAAACTAGTGTTACAGACAACACAGCTGAATCTCACAAACAAAATGGAAATAATTCACACAAAATACAGTTACTCATGCAATTTATCTAAAGTTCAAAAAGAGAAAACTACTTAGTGACCTTAGCAATCAGGAGAGTGGTTACCTCTGAAAAAAAGGAAGATTCTAGGTACAGATAATTATTCTACTTGACCTGGGGGGTGTTACAATGGGTATGTTCATGTTATGATAATTCACTGAGTATTAAACTTACGATCTGTGCACACTTCTACAGATTAGTTAATATCACTAGTGATAACATATGGAAATCACGTATCCACATATAAGTGACAAGAGGTACATTTCACCTCTGTGGTAATCTTTTTGAAAACCCATTACTCCAGGCTAGTTATGAGTAATACGTCAAACAATGTCAGTTGGAGGGACATTCTACAAAATACCTGACCAGTACTCCTTCAAACTGTCAAGGTCATGAAAGACAAGGAAAAACTGAGAAACTGCCATAGACCAGCGGACACTAAGGAGACATGACAACTAAATGTAACGTGGTATTCTGGATTGGACAAAGGAATTGAAAAAGGACGTAAATGGAAAATCTGGTGAAATATGAATAATGTCTGGAGTTTAATTAATAATATTGTGCCAATGAAGACTTTAGTTTTGACAAACGTCCCACAGGGCATACATTAGGGGAATCTAAAACTGGGTGAGGGGTGTACAGGAGCTCTCTGTACTATATTTGCAACTTCTCTGTAATCTAAAATTACTCCAAAATAAAAACTTTATTAAAAATAAAGTTTAGTACAAAACAAGCTGAATAGCTGCCTGAACGAGAAGTTGGATGAGGAAAGAAACTAATATTTATATAGTTAGTGCTACCTGTTGGATATTTAACATACAATATTAATAAACCAAGCATTTCTTGAAAAGAGACAGCTAGAGAGGAAAAAACAAATATGGCAAAAGAGAAACAAAGAAATATATGTTTACAAAACAGTGAAATCAAGGTTTAGAGAAGCATCCTACTATTATAGAATTTGGGAGTCAGACAGACCAGGTGAAATCTCACCTCTACCACTTACTGACTGATCTCTGGCAAGTTATATCATCTTTTTAATCCTATTTCTTCATCTGCGAAATAGGAGCCAATACCACCTACCTGAGAGAATTATAGTGAGGATTAAATAAGTGTCATGTGCTTAATAAAGTGCTTACTGGCACTCAATAAATGTTCATTTATTTTCTCGTCCCCTAGCCTACCTGCATGAGGAAACAGTGAAAAGGTTACTAGGAGCCAAGAAACCTAGAGTTCTATCTCTGTCACTGACTAATTATGGGACCTTGTGTAAGTCATCCAAACTTGCTGAGCCTGTTCCTTCACCCCTGTAAAATGAAGGGATTAATATAAACCAGGGATTGGCAAACTATAGCCTGCAGGCCAAATCCCAGCCTGCTGCTTGCCTCTGTAAATAAACTTTTCTTGGAACAATGCTATCCCCATTAGCTTTGGTGATAACTATGGCTGCTTTCCCACAACAGCAGCAGAATTAAACCGTTATAATAAAGACACTGTTTGCCCCTCAAAGCCTAAAATATTTACTCTCTGGTCATTTAAAGAAAAACTTTGCCAACACCTGGTGT